CCATGTCAACGTAGAAACGAAACGCAACAACCGTTGACCACAGACGCAAACAATAAACAACGCACGGTCTATAATTTGTCAAAAGAAACACTGGACGAACCAACAATAAGAGTATTGTCGAAAGGCTTAAATTTTGCTATAACGCCGCAAAAAATCCCGTACGAGGAAATTATCTGTAGTGTTGAGGATTGTCTGTTTAAGAATAATATCGGTAAAGAGGATTTAGAGGCTATACGTCAAGACATTTCGTCCTTGTTACGTCGAAGTTCAGCGCCGAAATTAAACCTGCCCAAAGACGAATTTAAAGCGTTGTACAACTTACGCAACAGACCAGAGCTCACGATTCTCCGCGCAGATAAAGGAAATGCTACGGTAATAATGGACACGTCAGAGTATAATTTCAAAATACAACAACTTTTATCGGACGTAAGTACATACAAAAAGGTCAAAATAGACCCTACAACTAATACACTCAAAACAACTACTGATTTAATAAAGAAATACTCCGAAAAATTAAATCTTGACGTGAATTCGACAATACCATCATGTGCCAAACCACCGAGGTTGTATGGGTTACCGAAAATACACAAACCAAACGCTCCACTACGTCCTATAGTAAGCCAGATCGATTCACCAACTTATAAGTTGGCTCAACACTTGGCGAAAATACTGTCACCACTAAGAGGACATACCAGAGCACACACAAAGGATTCATACCAATTTGTTAGTGAGATTAAAGACCTACATCTCGCTGACAATGAAACTATGGTCAGTTTTGATGTTCAGTCACTATTCACATGCCTACCTATTGAAGACTGCATCTCAATTGTTACTAGAAAGCTAGAAGATAACAACATGCCTACAGAATATGCAGTATTACTCAAACACTGCCTCACATCTGGCTATTTATTGTGGAAAGAAGAGTTCTACATGCAAGTAGATGGAGTGGCAATGGGCTCACCTGTATCTCCCGTAGTCGCCGACATATTCATGGAGGACTTTGAGGAGAAAGCCCTTCTTACTGCTCCTGTAAATCCAAGATTCTACAAGCGGTACGTAGACGATACTTTCACAATTTTACCATCTGACAAAGTAACTGCATTTTTAAACCACCTTAATTCCATAAACCCTAAAATACAATTCACAATGGAGTTAGAGGCAAACAATACTTTAGCTTTTCTAGATGTTTTAGTCATCCGAAATCCTGATAACACTATTGGTCATACTGTGTACAGAAAAAAAATACCCATACCAACCGATATTTAAATGGTGAATCTCACCATCATCCTTCACAGTTAGCTACCGTGGGAAAATCTTTGTTTCAGAGAGCACGAGGGATCTGTGACAGAAAACATCTGGCCGCCGAGCTTCAGCACGTCGAGCAAGTACTGCAAGACAACAAGCTTCGGGTCCCGCGCCTACGTCACAGTGACCGAGTGAAGCCAGCCACAGTCGAGCGTGTGCCTGCTGTACTACCCTATGTCAGAGGAGTCACAGACAAGGTTGGCTACATCTTGAAGCGAGCTTCCATTAAAACGTACTTCAAGCCGCTGAAGAAGATTGGTCAATTTTTACCATCCGTCAAGTGTCATATCCCTCTACAAGATGCAGGAGTGTACAAGCTGGATTGTGAATGTGGTCTCTCGTACATAGGACAAACAAAAAGATCTATTAAAACCCGCGTTAAAGAACATATAGCTGACGTGAAGCACCGACGTATCGGGAAGTCTGCAGTTTGTGAACATGTTCAGGATCGTCCCCGTCATTACATTAGATTTGATAGACCACAAATCCTCGCAAAAGAACACCGATTCCTCCCAAGGATGATTCGCGAGGCTATTGAAATTAAAAAACATCCTAATTTCAATAGAGAAGATGGATGGGTGCTGCCATCTGCTTGGGATCCCATAATTAATAAAATCAAATCCAAACCCAAGTATACCACTGCTAGACTTCAAGATACTGTAAGCTCATTCTGCGTAAATCGAACCAAAAATTAATATTAAAAAACTGAAGGTAGCCGGGCTAACTATGACAGCAGGACGTCAAACAACTCAGTCCCCCGTGACCACGGGTGCTGGAAAGCACCCGAAACGTCGGGAATATAAAAATAAGTTAATATACGCGATAAAATCCGTAAAATTAGTTTTATTTAAAAATGTGTAGTGTTCGCGTAAATATAAGAAATCATTATGTAAACCAGTACGGACTGGTAATTGCAAATAAAATTCGCCGATTAGAAGATCTCATGACCAAGCGCGCAAGATATGTAACATCGTTGAATTTTCTGAAAAGGTGCCGCGACCACCAGCTCATTCCTACGTGCGTCAAAATATCTACTAAAAAGGACATTCGAGGAAGCGCTAAGATCTTAAATCAGGCAAGTAAAAAGTTGTTACGAACGGTGATTCAGCAAAAACGGTTCGATTTACAAATCATAAATAATACCATAGACAATTTGTCCAGTGAGTTAAAGACCGTTTTAACGACATTTGATTTTAATAATTGCATTGAAACTTTAAACAAACGCGAAATATCGAAATATAATGAATGCAAAGACAAACAAATAGAAAAATACCAAAAATTAACTATCAAATCAAATGCCAAACATCCATGTCAACGTAGAAACGAAACGCAACAACCGTTGACCACAGACGCAAACAATAAACAACGCACGGTCTATAATTTGTCAAAAGAAACACTGGACGAACCAACAATAAGAGTATTGTCGAAAGGCTTAAATTTTGCTATAACGCCGCAAAAAATCCCGTACGAGGAAATTATCTGTAGTGTTGAGGATTGTCTGTTTAAGAATAATATCGGTAAAGAGGATTTAGAGGCTATACGTCAAGACATTTCGTCCTTGTTACGTCGAAGTTCAGCGCCGAAATTAAACCTGCCCAAAGACGAATTTAAAGCGTTGTACAACTTACGCAACAGACCAGAGCTCACGATTCTCCGCGCAGATAAAGGAAATGCTACGGTAATAATGGACACGTCAGAGTATAATTTCAAAATACAACAACTTTTATCGGACGTAAGTACATACAAAAAGGTCAAAATAGACCCTACAACTAATACACTCAAAACAACTACTGATTTAATAAAGAAATACTCCGAAAAATTAAATCTTGACGTGAATTCGACAATACCATCATGTGCCAAACCACCGAGGTTGTATGGGTTACCGAAAATACACAAACCAAACGCTCCACTACGTCCTATAGTAAGCCAGATCGATTCACCAACTTATAAGTTGGCTCAACACTTGGCGAAAATACTGTCACCACTAAGAGGACATACCAGAGCACACACAAAGGATTCATACCAATTTGTTAGTGAGATTAAAGACCTACATCTCGCTGACAATGAAACTATGGTCAGTTTTGATGTTCAGTCACTATTCACATGCCTACCTATTGAAGACTGCATCTCAATTGTTACTAGAAAGCTAGAAGATAACAACATGCCTACAGAATATGCAGTATTACTCAAACACTGCCTCACATCTGGCTATTTATTGTGGAAAGAAGAGTTCTACATGCAAGTAGATGGAGTGGCAATGGGCTCACCTGTATCTCCCGTAGTCGCCGACATATTCATGGAGGACTTTGAGGAGAAAGCCCTTCTTACTGCTCCTGTAAATCCAAGATTCTACAAGCGGTACGTAGACGATACTTTCACAATTTTACCATCTGACAAAGTAACTGCATTTTTAAACCACCTTAATTCCATAAACCCTAAAATACAATTCACAATGGAGTTAGAGGCAAACAATACTTTAGCTTTTCTAGATGTTTTAGTCATCCGAAATCCTGATAACACTATTGGTCATACTGTGTACAGAAAAAAAATACCCATACCAACCGATATTTAAATGGTGAATCTCACCATCATCCTTCACAGTTAGCTACCGTGGGAAAATCTTTGTTTCAGAGAGCACGAGGGATCTGTGACAGAAAACATCTGGCCGCCGAGCTTCAGCACGTCGAGCAAGTACTGCAAGACAACAAGCTTCGGGTCCCGCGCCTACGTCACAGTGACCGAGTGAAGCCAGCCACAGTCGAGCGTGTGCCTGCTGTACTACCCTATGTCAGAGGAGTCACAGACAAGGTTGGCTACATCTTGAAGCGAGCTTCCATTAAAACGTACTTCAAGCCGCTGAAGAAGATTGGTCAATTTTTACCATCCGTCAAGTGTCATATCCCTCTACAAGATGCAGGAGTGTACAAGCTGGATTGTGAATGTGGTCTCTCGTACATAGGACAAACAAAAAGATCTATTAAAACCCGCGTTAAAGAACATATAGCTGACGTGAAGCACCGACGTATCGGGAAGTCTGCAGTTTGTGAACATGTTCAGGATCGTCCCCGTCATTACATTAGATTTGATAGACCACAAATCCTCGCAAAAGAACACCGATTCCTCCCAAGGATGATTCGCGAGGCTATTGAAATTAAAAAACATCCTAATTTCAATAGAGAAGATGGATGGGTGCTGCCATCTGCTTGGGATCCCATAATTAATAAAATCAAATCCAAACCCAAGTATACCACTGCTAGACTTCAAGATACTGTAAGCTCATTCTGCGTAAATCGAACCAAAAATTAATATTAAAAAACTGAAGGTAGCCGGGCTAACTATGACAGCAGGACGTCAAACAACTCAGTCCCCCGTGACCACGGGTGCTGGAAAGCACCCGAAACGTCGGGAATATAAAAATAAGTTAATATACGCGATAAAATCCGTAAAATTAGTTTTATTTAAAAATGTGTAGTGTTCGCGTAAATATAAGAAATCATTACTAAAACACATTGATAATTTAACGGATGCGGTCAACCTTTTTAAAACAATCAAAACAAATTGTGGAAAGGTTACTTGAAATTACAATTTCACACTGTTATGCTAATAGAACATATTTATTTTCAGGTGCCCATAAATTGGGCTGACATGTTCCATATTTGGATATCGGAAGTTGGAAATAGATTAGAATAGAACCAATGAAAATTTTCACTGCTAAAAAGTTATGTGATCACCACTTTGAATCAAATTACATAAGTACAGGTCATCGTTTAATCATAACAGCTGTTCCAACTTTGTATCTTGAAGGTGAGTTTTAAATTAAAAACAATATAATTAACATGTATATGTTTAACCTCTCAGACCTTGACATTTTATTGGACATATTTAGTTAGAACTATGGTCAAGCCAAAGAGTATAGTAGGTCAGGCCAGACGATTTTTTAAAAAAATGGTAAAAATAACTTAGAGTAATTACTATGTTCATATCCAAAAATAAAAAATTATCAACAATTAAAATATCGAATTATTTATATGAAGGTCAAGTGAGCGCTAGAGTGACGACGATTGCAAGACGATTTGTCGATAAATGAAATGTTTCGAGAAATTATCAATTACTGTGTAGTGGCGGTGTATGAATATTCATACTATTCCGTGGGTTTCGTAAGAGGCGACTGATCCACTGTTCAATACAACAAGGTACGTGTACCGTGGAACAGAACGTGGCAACTATGACAAGTATACCCTCTATGAGGAATATAGTGGAGGCCTATGTTCATTGGGGGTTTTTATAGGATGTAACGGTCCATCACCAGCAGTGGAATGAAACTGTAAGGAGAGGGAGGGATTAATTTTATTATTTAAAAAAATATTTTTGTGGTTTTTTTTTATAGAAGAGGGGGCAAACGAGCATGCGGCTCACCTGATGGTAAGTGACTACCGCCGCCCATGAACAACCGCAACACCAGGGGAATTGCAGATGCGTTGCCGGCCGTTTAGAAAGGTGTAAGCTCTTTTCTTGAAGGTCCCTAAGTCGTATCGGTCCGGAAAATCCGCCGGTGGTAAACAATTATGTGTAAAAAAGTCATCAAACAGCATCAAACAATTTATTAAACAAAAGTTGCGTAAACAAGTTCATTGGTTAAAACAATATTAAATAACAAAACCAAACAATTCTACTGAAAAGAAAAAAAGTAAATATTATTTCACTTTTACAACTAAGGCAAATCTAACGAATCGCTATATTATGTTAAAATTCAATATATATATATATATATATATATGTTAAAATCGAATAAATATTATGAAGAAAGAAACAAGGACATAGAAACACTTGATTTTCATAAAGAAAAGAAATATATAATATAATTATATCGATAAACTCAGTAGAAGCCTCAAAAAAAATTAAATCACAGGTATATACTTGTACATCCGTAAGATAGCGTAATAAAGTAAATACTTTATTACGCTATCTTTGAGCAACGCCATTTTTCTAACGACTTCAAACAGGAGAAGGAAGTCGACTGTGTTTTTTTATGTGTGTTGCCTCATAACCTTCTGGGTGAACTGATTTCGATGATTCTTTTTTTATTTGAAAGCTGGTGCTTCACATTCACATTTTTATTTTTAGTTATTGTTGAAAACAACTTCGCCATAATGTTCACTATATATCGAAATAACATAAAACGTAATTTTCGCGCATTGGACTTTGTGGGATATGAAAATTTGTTTATTACATGATTTATTGTGATAACTCACACTTTTTATTTACTTTTCAGTTAATTCTGGCTATTAAATATAGTGATACGTGAACGACACAGTATTTGAAATGGCAATTTTATAAAATATATGAAATTGTTACGAAGCAAAATATAAGGAATTAAATTTTAAAACAGTGTAATTACTTACCATTTGTATAAAAACTAACAAAAAACTTTCTATTGTACCCACTTAATTTTTTGTAAAATTTCTAGTTGCCTCTTACACTCACGCGACGAAGGATATAAGACTAAAGTATGTGACGTAAACGCGACGCGAGGCGGAAACTCGTCATTTGAAGTAAATTCTGTTAATTTAAAGAAGCGTAATTTAATAACGAAACTAATTCTAATAAAATTTTAGTTTTATAGTTCATCTAAATAACATTTAAAAAATAATTGTTATGAGCACAATAACTATGGTTCTGACTAAACGTAGTGTAGTGATCATATACTCTTTGGTTCTGAGGGGTCCTTTCTAAATATTACCATACTCTTTGGAGCGTTCTACAAAGTTGACCTTGGCTTGCCTCATGTGTACTTCAAAGGCTTGACAGATTAAATGTTAGAATTAGATACCGTATGTAGGTGTCACATTCATTGAATGTGTATGTGGGGGGAAAATGATTTAAACTGTTTTTTTATAATCTCTATATGGTGGTAATTTGGAATTGAGTATGTACTTGGGGTGGCCACAAATCATATTATATCTTATACAATATAATAAATGTAGAAAATAATGTTCTTAAGGATTTATAAACTTGATAACTGCTTTACTAACTACTAACCTACCATTAGGTGAACTGTATGCTCATTTGCCCCCTTTTCGCCTTAAAAACCTGCAAGCTTACTCTTGTAAACAATTCCGATCAATCGGAATTGAAATCATAACATTTCATACTCTTGATAGCGACTCTAGTGCTAAATTAGTTTTTATATTATGCAGTGATTGTGTCAACTAATTGAGATTAGAGTTGAATTTATCCAATCCGATTGTAAGCAAAATCGGTACTCTTGACACAGTTTTGACAGTTAGTTGACAGCTGCGTATTGTGTTTGTGTTGAGTTGGAATTGAAATTTAGGCAATAGCAAAACAGTAACTTAATGAAGTGTTCACATTAATTGTTTGTTTTCTGCAATTATCTTATTTATTGTGATAAAATAATGGCACGTTTAGCTTTTGTGTTTAATATTCTACGCTGTAATTATGCATTACAATTAAAATAAAGATGTTGCTGAGTGTGAATGAGCTTAGATAATGCATTTTAAAGACATAGTCTTTTCTATCAGTGATGATGAGTTTAGAGCTAATTATTGTATTATTAAGGACTTATATATTAAGCCATGAATAAAAATCTAAATATGCAACCTCTGAAGAGAAGAATCTTTTCAGAAGACATGTTACGGATGAAGTACTGTTAATCAATATTAGCCTAAAAAAAGTTAATTTACAGCCTTTATATGTCCCACTGCTGGGCAGAGGTCTATTCTCATTTCTGAGAGGTTTATTGGTGGATTTCATATGTAGGAAATATGAATATAATGTTAAGTTACATTAAATGTATAATTTTATATGTATTAAAAATTAAAGTAATGTAATTTTAATAAGGATTTATTAATAAAACTATGATACAATGTTTAACCATTTATTTAATAAAGAAATATTTTAATTAATCTATCATCATTAGTATGTATCTGTTCTTAAATTTATTAATTAAATTTTTTATATAACAGTAAAAACTATATTTAAAATAAACCAAAAATTAGTTGCTTTTACAACAGTAATTAAAAGAAAACAAATCAATTTAAAATAACATGGAACATTGATAAAATTTGATGTCTTATTTATTTTAAATTACAGTAATGCTATTGTTCTTGTATTGTTTGGAAAAATTAAAACAGCAATATTAATAACTGAAATTGACATTGGATCGAAATTGTTATTGGATTCAAGAGTAAGCTTGCTGATGGTTATCAGATAGACAATTATTAGATATATCATTTATTACAGCCTATACTGCCATGGTAACCGAGAGAGCAGTATGTCGGTTATTTCTTTTTGTCAACCAACTTCTAAGGTAACTTTTTGAAAGTTACCTTAGAACTGTTTTTTAGGAGAACAGATTTTGATGATGTTCGAGACGGCCAAAATGACTGTTCACAACGGCAAAAATGACTTTAAACGAGAAAGTGATTAAGGAATATTTATTTGTTTAAAAAATGAAAATACGGAAAAATTGACTAAATAATGTATTAAATATAGTTTTACCATGTATTTACAACTCTCAATATGTTTGTATAGAAGGTCGATTTGACAATAGTTAATATAAACAACTTTATTTTGTTTAAGAAAATATCGACCAATCACAGCGCGCCGCGCTATAGAACTTTCTGGAAATTTAAATTAACTGCGTAATAGTTTTAAGCAAAAATTAATGAGAATAATTTTATGTCTGAAAAGAGTTGTAAATATGGTATTTAGTTAGCATATGATGTATAGATCGTTATAATAAAGAAATATTTTGTATAATTAAGCACGATTTAAAAGTTATAGGATAATTAAAGAATTAATATGACCAATTAGTGTAAAAGTTTAGGACATTTCAATGAATAACTTTGTTAAATGTAAATATATTAATTATCCTTTATCGCATACTAATGTAGAACAAAAATGTCTATTTAATGATGTATAGCATGTTAGAGTTAAGATTTGTATTATATAGAAAAGTTGCAATTTGTGCCATTTGCATAAAGAATATAGCCTATAGAGTATAGCCGAAGTCTACCTTATGGGGGCAAATCATAGTAACATTGTAGTAGGAAGAACTACCAGTAACAAGCAGCAGTATCCGGTAGTAGCTGAAGTGACTAGTAGCAGAACACAGTGAAAAGTTAAAGTGAAATAGAAAAGTTTAGCTAGCCGAAAAAGGTCGTAACTGAAAAATCGCAGTTACACATAGTCGAAAAAAGTGGCAACTGAAAATTCTCAGTTGCACATAGAAAAATAGTGTCAGCTAGCCAAAAATAGTGGTAACTGATATTCGCAGTTACATATAGTGAAAAAGTGTTGGCTAGCTGAAAAAAGTGGTAACGGAAATTTCGCCGTTACATTTCGTGAAAAGTGTTAGCTAGACGGAAAAAGTGGTAACTGATATTCGCAGTTACAAAAGTGTTTAAATTCAACTAATTTTAGTTGATTAATAGCTGCTAGTCAGTAGTGTTAGAAAACCAGCTGCTACCAATAGAAATTTTGGATACTACCAATAGAAATTTGTTACTTTCAATAGATATTTAAAATTACCAATAGAAATTGTAGAGAATACCAATAGAAACTTGTTACTGCCAATAGAAATTTAATATTACCAACAGATATTTTTAAAAATACGAATAGAAATTTTAGAAAACCAATAGAAATTTTAATATTACTGTGTGTTTAATTAAATCTGTGTTTTAAAATATATAGTGAACAATCATAGTTGAAAAATAGTGATAAATAAATAACAGTGTAAAATCTCGCGACAAATTAATTAGTCGATCCGCTGGCCACCCCCT